TGTTGAAGATAATTAGAAATAAAATACATTTCACTGAAATACATTCCATGAATAACAAATTAGAACTTAAGGAAAACAAATTTTATCTAATCACAATGCTTAGTGAGTGGTGATGAAAATTCACGTTCAACACAGAATAAAACAATAAAAAATAAGAGAAAAAAAATAATGTCTAAAGAAAATTAAATCCTTATAACATAGTATGTATTTAACCAGCGTCTGATTGGATTGTGAAGAGGAATTGGAATAAGAAGGTTTTAAAGGTGGATAAGGATGATGCATGGCGGATTTTTAGTGGGATGGAATTCCAGAATGCAGTGGAACGGACAACGAAGGAATGTTTAAATGATGCAGATCTGTGGAAAGAAGTGTAAAGTTCAGAAGGACGAGATCTTGTGGAGAGGGTGTGGATAGATGATTTGAATTGTAGGAGATTGTATGCGTAGGACGGACGATGACTATTGATTATTTGGTAAAGGAATGTGCCTAGGAAATATTGTCTTCGGAAGGAAGGGAAGAGCCATCCTAATTCAGCATATATATATATATATATATATAAGGTAATATACCCACCAGTCCTTATATATAGTGGGAAGAACTGGTTGATGCTGGACAAGCATGTCATCTGAATAACTGGTGCTGAGATGAAGTTATTGCGTAGAGGAGGAAAGGAGAAAAGACAAGGCAAGGCTGTGTCAGAAACAACTGAATTAAAGAGCAATTAGAGGTGCCTCCATCGAAAACAGACATTAAAATGATTTGAATATGTTTGTCGAATAGATGAAGTGAGAGAATCCAGGACACTTTAAGCTAGCTCTACAGATAGAATACCATGTGGCCGGCCTAGAATTTCCAATCAGGAATATATCCTAGGGGATATATTGGGGGTAACAGAGGTAAGACCTTCGCAGATGAAGCGACTAGGAAAATTGGCAGCGCTGGATTGAGGTCCCCTCTACGCCAATAGGCAGTGCTGGCCTTAGACATTCGGCGCCCCTTCCCCGGGCAATGAAGTCATCCCCCCAACAAATTTAATTTATTTCTTAAGCTGTTTTATATTATAAAATATTTGAATTTTATTTATTTAAACATTTTTATAATACAGATACTTGATTGATAAGCTAAAATTAATTATTTAGATACGTTTTGTGTTTTCTTTAATTCATAACGAATGGCGAACGCCCCTAAAGATCAGACGACGCCCGACTGTTTCTCTTTAAGGCCGGCGCTGCCATAAGTCTAAAAGAGGAAGAGAAAGAAAAAAATAGCTTAATTATTGATAAGGTATTTGGAGGACTTAAGAGTTTTATTTTTGGAATCTTTCAATAATATCCTAATAACATGCATATTTATTTTTTTAGTTTTTGATCTCTATAATTAATATATTGTTTATTTTACATTTATTAATGTGAATTTATAGATAGTACTAGTCACAACGATTTTATTTTCGGTGTATCAAATAAAGAATCTATTAGTTAAAAAAATATTGAAAGAATATAGCAGTCTAGATATTGGCATTCTTAGTCCCTGTATGACGATGGTGATAATAATCTGAGTTTTCACATAAGTATTATCTAAAAGTTTGTTTATATTAGTTTGTATTGATGGTGCTTACGTTTGGATGATTTTTCACACGGGCCAATAAATACGGGAATTAGTTACCTCAAATTGTGAAACAGTTGGACAGTGTGAAAAGAAAACATCCTTCAGTAACAGGAAACAATGTAATAAGAACAAAATAGATTGGAATGTAGTCGATACGCGGAAAGAGTGGAGCGGTAATCAGCTGAGAACTGGTACTTACCCTGCGAGGTCATCCATTTGTATTCAAATAGTTTATTGACTGTTTTTTCCTGAATTACGGCTCTCTATCTTCGCTTTATTAGAAATCATTGGAGGTACTTTCCAACAGAGGGATTTTTAAAGGTAATTATAAGAGGAAGCAGGATAGAAAATTGTAGTCCTAAATATACTCAATTTTCTTGGATACTGTGAAATTACGCAAACAAAATATCTTTTAGTGCACCAATAGAATAAAATTTTAAAAGTTTAATATACTATTATTTCCGTTAAAATAATACTGATTCTTTTTATTGAGAGCTGAAACTATGATATTTTCAAACACAATGTTGCGACTCCCCTCCCTTTAGCTAATGTTTTTCGAAATAAATATCATCAGGTGATATTAACTCGTACCATTGACTGAATGAAAGCCAGAACAATCAACAAGTAGAAAGAAATATATATTATTTACAATATAAATAAAAATAAATTGTCTCAAAATTTGCTGCCCTCTAAATTATGGCGCCCGGCGAAATTCACCCTTTTGCCTCTAACTAGCTGCGATGCTGTTATCATTATTTATTATACACCATGAATAAAAACATTCAAAACTTAATGGATTGGCTATCGTGCAGCATTGATCGTACTACTAAATTGTGTAATACGCAATTTTTAATTTTTAACAACACAAAAAACAGGTAATTATTACGAGTCTATACTAAGGTAGAAAAGTATTTCTCTATTTGTATACCAGAGTATTTTGAAGGATAGTTCATATAGGTTTTAATTTTTGGATTTTAATAGTTTTATTATTTTTTTTTTTATTTAACATTTCTTCTCTCCTGATCTCAACAGGCTCACTCTCACGTTTTCCAACCCACTTATTAAAACATTTTTCATTTTTCATATCTTCATCTGAAAGGTGGAAAGTAGACATCTAGGTTGCGAAGTGACAATTACAGGTTAAGCTCTCGACAGTAACGCTATATTTTTTAAATATTTTAAACTGTGTTTGGTAAAGGCCTCCAGTCGAGGCTGTCAACGCTGGTTGTCTCTGACAATAATCTGCTTGCTGATCTTCTTCTCCTATTCTTGCGAGTGTAAACGCTCAACACCTAAAACATAAACATATATTTTGTTTAATTATAGATTAATTTTTTGGTTTATTATTTTCAATAATTAAACATTGTGATCGACCAAAACATTCAAAAACTTAATCCCCTCTCAATATTTGAGGTTTCACGCTTCAGGACGCGTAGAATTCGAAAAACGAATACAATTTTTTTTGTCCGTCCGCCGTACGCCGTACGCCGTGCGCCGTCCGCTGTCCGCGCATTTTCTCCGAAACTACTGGACCGATTTTTTTCAAATTTTGATATAAAATCAGAGGTCACCCGAGGATGATCCTCCTTCATCGACATTATTCTCCGCCTTTAATTTTCAAAATGGGGGCCGAAGAACCTGTGTTGCTATAGACTGTAGCTCCTAAACGAATGTACAGATTTCAATGAAACTTCGCTAAGTCATTTTCTCGACGCCCTTTAAATTTATCTATATAACATACTTCAACGAAAAGAAGCTGGAAAAAAAGTTACGAGGGATGGTAAAATTAAATTCCGAATAATTCGAAAAGTTTTTACTTTTTTGTTGATATTGTATTGGTTTTTAAAAGTTTACGAAATTCCCTAAAAAACCAGAAAAAATCCTTAAAATCGGACCACTAGGAGCTAAGATATTGTCTTCGGTTTTTTTTTGGTGTTCTACTCCATATGTTATATCCTTAGTTTGGTTTTTAAATTTTAAATTTGTTACTGAACTAATGCTATTTTTTTTTAGCATATTACTAATGATTAAAGAAAAACAGTTTAGTCCAATAATTGGAATCACCTTTTGTTTTTTTTTTCTTTGGAATTCGGAAGGTAATGTTACTTTAGATGTATAATTGTTTGTAGATAATAAAACATTGTGAAATAATTTGTAGCGTTTTTCACTTGTATAAGTAAATAAAAATTTGCATTGAATTATATTGTATTTTATAAGCTACGTTATAGTTCGTAGCGTTTAGTATGAGCTAAATAAAACTTTTCGGATGTCCCAGATTCGGATCTAGGATTTAATTTTGGGGATTTCAGTCCGAAAGCGTTTATACAGAGTGTTTCAGGGATAAGTGGCCAAACTGCAAAAATGAACTAAGGACCTCAAAAACAGAAAAAAAAAAATGTCCTTTGAAGTTATGTTCGCAAACGCTTTGTTTGGGAGATATTCACACCTAAAGATTTTCGTTGTTACGAATTATTCACGTTATATGAAATAAACAAAACCTATTTATTTCTTTTAACTACTTTATTAATTAAATGTAAACATTAACATTCATATTAAATGATTTTTAAAGTGAAGGTATGTTCACAAACGCTTTGTTTAAGATATGGATTAAATAGAATACTAATATGGCTTTTTATTCCTAACTGTATAAAAACTATTGGTAACATAAGGATTAATACTATTAGGAATTAGCATTTGGAACTCTCAATAACATTTATCAGCTTATAAGAGGCTTTCTCAGAGTACTCGTCATTATTCCATTTATACTAATGGTGAATATGGCGATATGGTGTTTGTATACGGTTTTTGCAATGGTAATGCTAATGCTGCTCGTAGTGAATATACCAGGCGAAGTCTATGCAAGTCCGGTCAATGACCTCAATTCCTTAAGAAGAAGGATAGTTGAATCTTGTGAAACCACAACTCACATCCAGTGCCGTTCTGCCACTGCTGCTGTTGAAGAAAGATGCCGAGCCTGTCGTAATGCTCTAGAAAATCAATTTGAACAACATTTAATATGAATTAAATGTTTACGTTTTAATTATTAAAAAAGTTGGAACGATTAAATGAGATTTATTTACTTAATACAACGTAAATAATCCATAACAATGCAAATATTTAGGTGTGAATATCTCGTCGTGCGCTAACAAAGTGTTTGCGGATATACCTTCGCAGGATTTTTTTTTCTTGTTTTGAGGTCCTTAATTCATATTTTCAGTTTGGCCATTTAACGCTGAAACAGCCTATATATATATATATATATATATATATATATATATATATATATATATATATATATATATATATATATATATATATATATATATATATATATGAATAACGATAATTACTTAGGAAAAAGAAGAAAGAAACTAACTACCTTTATGAAATGCTCTTTAAGCGATTCTTGAAGTTCTATTTAAATGTATATATACCCAATGTACGCAAATGAATACATAATTTGTGAGATTAGTGTCAATACATACCTGTGAATTGCAAGTAGCTGACAGTGCCATAAGAACACCCTGAATCGCATGAAGTACATTGTAAGCAACCCAGAAGAAATATGCATTTGTAGCCATGTGAAGGGCTCCACAGATATCCAAAATAGTGAGAAGGGCAACGAATCTAGCATAAAGTGAAAGCTCCAGTCGACCTGATGTTGACATTCTGAGAAGACAAGATAGAAAACATTATTGAAAGTACAACATGTAACATGTTTGACATCTATCATGAGAAAATTTAGTTTGCCATGATATTTTATAAAGATTTGTTCACAATAAGAAGCCTACTCTTTATCTTCTATAATAATCAAATTCGAACATAATACTGTTGTTAGCAAGTTAGCGGAATCAATATGTTCTTCATCAATATGTGTTTGATATGACAAAATTGTTATTTATTTATTTTATAAAGGTTTTGGATACTTCTTTTTGCTTGTTCATTAGTCACGTATCACTAAAAATTTCTGGGTTTTCATAAAATGTTTGCCTACTATGGCTTATTCAAACTAAAATATGACCAATCATTAATTGATATATTATATGATATATGATATGAAATACTTTTCAATAGGTAATACTCCATTATCCCCATCCCCATCCCCACATATATTATTACAGTAAGGTTTGAAATCGGTTTTGTATCAAATATAAGCTCCTGTCATGCTCAAATACCATGAATGGGTGGGGTACCGTTGGATTCAGAATTTCACGGAGAATTAGCGAATTGTATTCTCCACTTTTGTTATTCTTTCTAAAATAAATAAAGTCGATACAAACATTTTGCTAGGCTTCAATACTGGAACGGTGGTAGGTAGATCGATAAATTGGATCTTGAAGATTTTGATGTGTACAACAAGACCCGGATAGTTCCTCTGGATCCTGCGTTTTTAAGCCCCTAACCGTACTATTTTCGAGATAACGCAAGGCATTGGGTTCGCATCCAAACAATCTTACATTAATTGTAGTACTGTCATTGAATACATGTCTCATTTCGTCGACTTGAGGTCTCTATGATCGAGAGAGGAGGAATTTATATTATTTATCGATGGTTTTTTTGATCGGAAAGCCATATCATCGTTAATTTTTCACCAAATCTCAAGATTGAGCCATCAATTTCGAAAGCTTCCTTCTCCTTCAGGAGGGGCAAAATAGTATAATCACCCCGAAAATTCAGGCCAACAAGTTATGAAAGAAAACAAACTTTATTTGCGAATAACTAAAAAATTACACACTTTTCAATATTTGGCACAGCTTACTGAAATTTGTATACATGTTGGTTCCAAACAGAAATGAAGATTTAAATTAATCTTTGTTTTCTTTGTCGATTATGTTTATCGAGAAAGGAACATTTGATTTCCTTATCTTTTGATATGTTGCATTAATTTATTTTCTTATTAATTTGGCATTTGATAACAATACCCTGTGCGAATTTTTCTCAAAGGTCTACTAGTATTAAATAATTGCTATAATATTGTTAATTTTTCCAAGGTATAATCTTTCAAATAAATGTTAAATAAGTGATTTTTTGTTTGCTTACCTTGTTCTAGACTTTATATCTGCCTCCATTCGCAGCCTATATTCAAGTGACACCCTGGACCTAATCAATGCACAAGCAGATCCTGATAGCAAGGAAAGAGCAGGGAAACTATACGTCAGGAGATAAATTTTATTTTCGGAGAACCTGGAACAAATTTATAATGAAATAACATTGAGATTGACGATTCTAAGTCTAATTTATTTAAATTATATATAATAAATCTAATATGAAAAGAAAGAAAATTTGTCGTTTAAAGTTGACTTTTTTTTTTTGTATTTATAAATTATTTCAGTTGCATTATGGTGTTTTTCATTTATAAAATCTTTAATATTCATATTTCAATTTTTTTTTATTTTGATTTTTATCATGATCACAGTCTTAGTTTTTCTACTATTATGAATTTACATCCTCCAAAGATAACAATCTCCTACCATTTCTCCATCATAGGAATATCTTTATCATTATTTTTAACTTAGAGGGAGACTATTATTAATAATGTAAATAAATTGGTGTCTCTTAGTTTCCAAAAATTAAATTATTCTCCGGTTTTCAAGGATCATCAAACGAGAAATGTGGTAGCTGCTACTGATTCGCTCCACTGACGATTCCTCCATCACTCCAATCAAGGCTCTTGATGAGGCAAGTAATCAGTCAGCTTTAATAAAATTAGCTTACCTCTTCTGGGTACCCTCTCAAGGAGGCGGGGACAGTTGAGTTGAACCTCTAGGAGGAATAATATTCAAGTTTGAAACATCACCCTCAACATCAGTTGTTATAAAGGGCAAAATTCGTAGAATTCTTAAGAAAAAAATAGTTGGATGCCTTAGAATGGTTTATTTGTTTTATAGAGTTTAATAACATCGTATTTATCTAAAATAGAAAAGGCTAGTTGTCTTTTAGACCGTAACTTTTTCTAGCCATAATACGAAGGTAAAGATTTATCAATCATGAAACAAAAGTTAGATCTTATTCGCTTGAGTAATACTCAACGATCTTTGTGATTGCGGTAACATCAGGTATACAAATAAAATATTTTCAGTGAAAAAGTTGGAAAATGGGCACATGTGTGGATGTTGGCATTTCCCCTGAAATGATTTTGGAAGGTGCTGCAGACTCGCTACCAGGAATCTAAAGGTAACCAATTATTGACTTTAAAAAACCCGAAAGCTGAGATGTACTTGAAACTTTTTTTCTCAATAAGTTGATGAACCATCGATTAATGTGCGACTTGATGTTTTTTTTTTAATTGTCAACCGTTAACAGGTATATAAAATAATTATTTTTATAATTTAAATTAATTTCGGTGTTATTCGGAAAGCAGAGGACCTGGACAACTTTTAAAATCTCTCATGGCTTTAAGCTTAGTTTGATTTTGCTTTGACTACATTGATGTGAATATACGCATACTTTTTGATGTCAATACAAGTCCAATTCTATTTACTAATATGACCTGTTATGGATATCATGTATCGTGTTAGTATGGCTGTACAAGTGTGATAAATAAATAATCTGCACATTTAATCTTAATAACAATTATTTAAATTTCATGATAAAAATAATTTCTGCGCATTGCATTATACGTATGTTACCAAATCCTTGACTTTTTGTTTAAAAATGTGTTTTTTCCATGTGAAATGTCGGTTCAAAAACGAATTTTTAATACTTGATTTCTTAATCAAAGTTTACAATCTTAAATGAATGTTTAATCTTTGACATTAGTGGTTGATTTAAAAGTTATAGATAAATAAATAAAATAATAAATAATAAGGCTTAGCGAACCCGAAGGTTCGATGCCGACATCACCAATCGCTTGTTACACACCTCCCTCCACCGTTCGCCGTCCAAACCCAGTCCCTTCAGATCGGCTTTAATGCAATCTTCCCACCTTCGCTTCGGTCTTCCCCTCGGACGCTTACCATTCGGCGCAGCAAATATTAACCTTTTAGGAATTCTCTCGTTACTAAGCCCAACAACTTTACAAGCCCATTTGATTCGCCGCGATGAAATTACCTCAATTATATTACCCGGATACATCTCACGCAATTCGGCGTTGTGTAACCGTCTGAACTCTCCGGTTAACTCATCCTTCTTCGGTCCGAATATTCTACGCAATACTTTATTTTCAAAAACCTTAAGACGCTGCTCATCCCTTAATGTAAGCGGCCAAGTTTCGCATCCATAAAGAACTGTAGGCAAGATAATTGTTTTATAGATTCTAATTTTTAAGTTTCGGGACAAGAGGCGCGAACTAAGTAGTTTTGTCACAGAAAAATAACAAGCATTCCCCGCCTTCAGTCTAACCTTAATCTCTTCTTCAATTTCGTTTTTTCTAGTTATCGTAGAACCTAGATACCTAAATTTATCTACCTGTTCAAACATATTACCATCTATATCGATATCACCAGTAGTATCGCCATTTTTGCAGCTAACCATATATTTTGTTTTATCCACGTTTATTTCGAGTCCTAGTTCTTTCCCGGCTTTCATTAACGTTGTCGTATTTAGTTTTATAGTTTCAACGTCTTCGCTTAACAGTACCAGATCATCAGCATAGCCCAGCACGGATGTTGTCCCGCCCAGATCCAACCCTTTCTCGGTTCGCATTACTTCCCTAATGGCATGTTCTAATGCCAAATTGAACAGGGCAGGCGAAAGAGAATCCCCCTGTTTTAAGCCCGAACGAACCTCAAATTTTTCGGACAAATTATTACCGATTCTAACTTTATTGAGTGTCTCCGTCAAGCACATCCTGACTAGATTTACTAGTTTTTTTGGAATCCCCTGCTCGATTAGAATATTATACAGTTTCTGGCGGTCAATAGAATCGTAAGCCTTTTTAAAATCTATATACAGCTGGTGAACAATACCGTTATACTCCAATTTTTTCTCTAATATTTGCCGTAAAGAAAATATTTGATCAATAGTCGAACGATTCCGTCTAAATCCGCATTGGTAGTCTTCGATAATTTCCTCGGCGTATTCCGTGATTCGACTGGTTAAGATTAAAGTGAATATTTTATAACATACCGGAAGCAGTGAAATTCCTCGATAGTTATTACAATCCGTCCTCGGACCCTTTTTGTGAATCGGAATAAGAATAGATTCTTTCCATTCTTCAGGTAATTTCTCGTTCACCCAGATCTTTCTAACCAACCGATGTATTTTAGAAAGTCCAGCTTCTCCGCATGCCTTAATTAGTTCAGTAGGAATATTATCGATTCCCGCTGCTTTATATGATTTTAATTTTCCGATGGCTACTTCAACTTCCTCTTTACTTGGTCCTTCTATTAACGGTTCAGCACTCTGGTACTCAGAAGGAGGACACAGATCATAATTTCCCGTATTTAAAATATTTTCAAAGTGGTCCTTAAACTTATTCAATATGTCAACCGGATCGGTCAGAATATTGTTATTATCATCCCTAATTCCAGACGTTACGGGCCCTACATATTTACGTGATCTGTTTATACCTTTGTACATTTCTCTTACGTTATTTTCAATTCTATTAGTTTCTATTTCAATTATTTTATTTTTAAGATACTCCCTTTTTTTATTTTTGAGCAATTTTGTCGTTTCGTTCTTTGAGATTCGGAAGTATTCCAGATTGTCTTCGCTAGGATTATTTAGAGCTTTTAATTTAGCGGTTTTTCTTTTTTCACACATGTTTAAGCAATCTTCATCAAACCACGGTTTGTTATTCTTATTTTCCTTTTTTCCTAGACACGAGTTACCGACCGCTTTAATATTATCTCTGATCTCTATCCATAACTTGTCAATATCCTCGTGGTCCTCGTCAGGAAGCTCTAAAGCTTCAAACCTATTCTTAACATCTAGCTCGAATTGGTTTCTAATTGATGGATTTTTTAATTTTTCCAAATTAAAATTCTCAAAATCGAAACGGTTTTCTTTTCTCTTTTTTATATTAAGTTTTTGTCGAAGTTTCGCGATTACTAATTCATGATCCGACCCACATTCTGCTCCGCGATAAGACCGTACATTAATTATACTGCTTTGCCAGCTGTGTTGTATCAAGACATGATCGATTTGATTTCGTGTTTGCGAATCCGGTGATGTCCAAGTATATTTATGAATATCCTTATGTTTAAACGTCGTACTTTTAATTATCAGGTTTTTCGAGATGGCAAAGTTTATCAGACGGATCCCATTATCATTACTATATTCGTGCAAACTTTCTTTACCAATCGTCGGAATATAAACTTCTTCCCTTCCCACCTTTGCGTTCGCGTCACCTACAATTATTTTCATGTAGTTTCGTGGTAGTTTATCATAAACCCATTCGAGTTTATCGTAAAATTCACTTTTGACTTCATCGTCACTGTCTTCGGTCGGACAATGTATGCTTATTAATGCGATTTTAAACCAACGTCCCAGAAATGTAGCTACCGAAATTCTATCACTAAAGAATTGTACGTCCCTCAAAGCGGATAGTAATCTACGCCTAATTAGAAACCCGGTACCTAAACAATGATTCCCGCTTCCTCCGTACCAAATAGTGTACTTCCCTTCCCTCATCGAGCCCTCCCCTGGCCAGCGAACCTCTTGCAGAGCCACGACATCTAAATTGTACCCATTTACCTCATTCGCGACCGATTTTAGCCCCCCTGCTGTGTTTAAACTCCTTACATTCCACGTACCAATATTTAAATCCCTATATTTCAACTTGCGCCATGAATCCCCTAAAGCAGTCCCCACCCGGAGACCCGAACGGGGGACTAGTTTACCTCCGGATAATGAGCGTTTTACCTTAGGGAGATCCATGACTTTTTGTGGTGTTTGGTGAACTAAAGATATGTGAGTAGGGTGTTCAATCCTACGTCACACCCTCCAGCAAGTCTGGTGGGCCCCTACCTCCAGCAAGTCTGGAGGTCCCCTCCCTCCAGCAAGTCTGGAGGGCCCCTCTCATTGTTGGTCAGCGAGTCCATCGGACTTAGCCGGAAGGAACTTCCAAGGAATTTCCACCGACCATCCCCACATCCGCCACCCGTAGGACGCTCCCCATACGCGGTAATGAGCCCGCGCGAGGTAAAAGTTATAGATACATATTTTAATTGACATAATATAATGTTGATATTGTAATCTTATTTACTAATTAGGCCGGCGTTTATTATCGTTATTATCATTTACTATTAAATTGTTGAATGAAGGAACACGTTTCAATAAGAAATAAAATGAAAAAAATCTTTTTGTAATTTCTTTAAAATTAAACTTAATTTGATAACAAATTCAAATGATTTCGAAATTTTATTTTCCTGTTATTGTGGCAAAAAAGTATTATAGTAAACTAATTTATTATTAATTATAACCATAAAGATTATTTTTTTTTTAAATATTGAACAGTTTAGCATAGAGTTACCCGAGACTGAATTGGCTATTTCAACTTCTTTGTAAAGGAGCTAATTGAGTTTGGCTTGTCCTGGCCGAGGATATCTGGACCCAGCAACTAATTTAATTAACACCGGCATTTTGAGTTCCAATTAGTTAGTTATATCTTCGTGGAACATGCTCTACATTTATTCTGTTTCATTCCATCACTGATTCCAATTTCAAATATACTTTTCTCAGGCAAAGAGACAAATTTTGATCAAACTGAATCTCGAAATTTCTATAGTATCATCTAAACTAAATAAACTCCCTACTTTGATTCCCTTGTGAGACAGGAATAAGGATCACTTGTAGATTTGTTAAGATTTTTTGAGTGAACAGCTGAATCGATTTTTATGTTTGATCGCTCAAATTATGTATTCAGATTCCAAAAGTGTTTGAAATAATTTGGTCTAAAAATACTGACAAATTATGATATAAAATATGTTTGAGCAGTCCATTAAAAGATATTCATCAATTCTTTCCACGAGGTCTCTTGCCAGTTATTGAAGCAATCATAGTTGAGTAAAGGGTTCCAGATGGATTGCTCTGTGCTACATAACCGTCCATCTTAACATCCTTGCCTTCATATCATGAGGCATATCACTATTTTGAAGTTAGTTGAAATTTACTCAGGAAACGTTTTGAATCAATATGAGCTCAAAATATTGAAATCAAATTAATATCTTTTAAATATTCTCGATTATTTGGTGGTTTCATATTATGTCATGTGTAAGTTCGTACTCATTGGATATAAATTAAAAAAAAAAACTTGAAAACTAAAAATGTCAATATAAGAAATTATTCAATTTAAAAAAAAAGAAAAGAAAAAACAACTACGGAAATAACCCTATTTATCTTACAAGAATATACTTGCATATTCACTTAAACCACTCCGTAGATTGTTAGGGAAATTGATGAACTAGGGAAACTAGAACATGAAGTTTAAATATTCATAGCCATCAATTTTCTTAGCTATCTAGTAGATAGTATCTACCTGAACCTACCAAGGTATTCAGTAACTTACGAGGTTTACTACCCTGTTGCTACTTCCTTACCGGATGCACCACAATGTGACGGTATTCAATGAACCACTATATCTCCTCCATCGATTTTTTTTTAAAATATGCTTGTAAAGAGAAAATCTCTCATCTTGTTTATATATATATATATATATATATATATATATATATATATATATATATATATAGTTAGGAAAATTGATGAACTAGGGAAACTAGAACATGAAGTTTAAATATTCATAGCCATCAATTTTCTTAGATATCTAGTAGATAGTATCTACCTGAACCTACCAAGTTATTTAGTAACTTACGAGGTTTGCTACCCTGTTGCTATATATATATATATATATATATATATATATATATATATATATATATATATATATATATATATATATATATATATATATATATATATATATATATTTAAGATTGAAGAAATCCCCACTAAGGAAATATACATGCAATAGATTAAAAGCATCTGAAAAATATAGAATATAGAACAGATTGAAATAAAATAAACTGTAATTATTAATGTTGAAATCACACAAATATACAGTTATTCCAAGGCCGGATTTTTATAGATTGCCATCTGTTCTTCATACTATAGGAGAGAGGAGTGAAAGCATTTATTCCAGCGAATCCCTCAAGGAAGTTCCTCGAATTCTTGTTGGCAATTTTAATTAAAATGATTTAATTATATAATAACAGGTGTTATGAAACTAATTGGATAATTTAATTTTAGATTTGTTGGTTTGTTAAATTAATTAGTCCAACTATGTATTGGAAATCATTTTAAGATAACCGAGCTCTACAAAGAAAGTTGCGCATTCTAAGTCACGTTATTTCTATTAAATGAAAACGTTTATTAATTTATTATACAATTTTTTTTAAATATTCTTTGATATACACCCTTCCACCAGTGGCTAATCCAGCTCTGAGTAATTTTAAGAATTGAAAGACGATAAAATTAGGTACATCTTGTATAATATGTAAAATGCATTCATTATACATGATAAACTAAAAGTAAATACTGAACAGTATTGATGTAAAGGAAAATAAAAGTAAAGGTACACAAAAAATACATAAAGAAAAATAAATAAAACAAAAGTTAGAAATAAAAATCACCCGACAAACTAATAGAAAAGTTATTAGGTTATGATTAGGTGGAGTATTTTACTTTTGGTACTTGAGAAAGGAAGGTGGGTGCTATAAACGGTGTTCCGTAAGTTGTTACAAAAGTTCATTCCAACAATCATAATCAATCCTATAAGAATAATTTTATTCCTACTATTTAGGTATGTTTACTTTTCTAACTCCTTAAATCCTTATGATTTAAGTTGATTTCATGTGGTCATTAACATTTTTAAAATGCAGATGAAATGTCAGAGGAAACAATCGTGTTCCGCGTTTTACTTGAAAAGAAGGTCTCAAGGGAGGGACAGGTGTGGAAAGATACGGAAACGCAACATTTTAAAAAAACGTTCCGATCAGACAAAGCTTCACAACCGGAGATTTGCCAAGATCGATTTGAGGAAAAAGTTATCGTTTATGTTTGGTGGAACTTCGGAGGCGTTTTGCATTTTGAGCTCGTTCTTGATGGGCTAACAACGGACTCTAAACTTTACTGTGAGCAGCTAGACAGAGTTTATGCAGTTTTGGCTGGAAAGTACCACATTTTGGTCAACAGGAACTAACACATCATTCTCGTGTAACAAAGGTCGTAAAAACCTTCATACCAGACATGGCTTTGATTAATAAACCTGAAAACACGCTTTGGAGGCTCAAAGAAAGCTGGATGAGGGGTTTTCTTGCTATACTAAATACTAAAATAATACAGGAAGGGATGTCCCATGGCACTCCTATCCCTCACGCCGATCAAGCCTCTACCAATATTGTTCCCTCGAGCAGACTCACTGATTTTCAGTATTTCTGACAGTTATGGGTGGAGAAATGAATTAAAAAAAAAAGAAGTGTTTTTATATTGATGATATAAAAATAATCTATATTGCTAATCAATTTCGCATTTTTGGAATTTCAAGATTTTAAAGTTCATTTTAGTACTGAAACAACTCAAAAAGTCATTTGCTCTTGTTGAGCAGTTGAGCAGCCATTATTCTCCGCAAAGTTCGATACACCATGTACTTACCAACAGTTGACCTTGTACATATGACTGAGATGGTCGGTGTCTGTAACTGCATATGCTGCCGACACCGCGAGCGCCGGCAAACCCCAGCAAACGAAGCAGGAAAACAAAAATCTGAAAAGACAAATAATTCAAACTTTGTACATGATATTTAAATATCATTGAATAAATAAAATACATACAGTAATGTAGAATGACAGTTTATAAGAAAGATTACACGATTATTATTTTCAATTATTGATATTTCTAAATGAATAAGTTCTTAATAGCGTTTTTTAAAATAGAACGAACGGGTATTTAGTTCTATGACAGAATATTTAACTATAAGGAAATAATACACAAAAATTCTAGAGAACATGAAATGTTGTTTGTAAATGAAACAAATTAGAATAAATTACGCTTTTCAACTTGCAAAAAGAGTCCCGAGTTAGACGGGTTTCCATTTCCATCATGTATTATTCATTTTAAATGTATATGATTCCGTTGAACCTAAGCTTGAATAACTCATATTCATAAATTTTATACAGTAGTTTAGAAACAAGTTTGAAATTTTAGAATCTAATGAGAAAAGCTGAAAAACTATGACCTTTGATCACTATTTTATTTATTACTTAACAAAATGGCTCACTCATGATTTTTTTTAGATTTAGGGTTTATTAATTAATTAATATGTTCATTAATAATTAATGATCAAAATTATGCATATGATATTCTATAACTCATTTTTTAAAATAAGATAACAAAATTTCATATGGATACATACTGTTGTCTCTTGTTTCAAGGAGTTAAAGATATGTGAGTTACAGCGATCTTTGAAAGATCAACTCTCAAAGGGTGAGCGAGCCTCATGTGGCTCGTGAGCAGATTTTCCGGCCACTGTCCTTAACGGTTCTGTTTCGTAGGATCTTCATCCATGTTCTGATCCAAGGATCTTTAAGGCATCATTTGCAACGCTATAAGTCATTTTTTTTTTTAACAGGGCCTCCGTCAACAGGTGCTTAGAAATCTTTGTGTCATTTATCATGCTTAAGTTGTCGCACGCTGTAGCCGTCCATGACCTGCAGAACATCGATTTCTTGAAAGAGGTCATAAATGTCTTGATTTAAACCTCTGCGCCTAGCCTTGTTTAGTCCTAACTGCTTCATTCGAAGTGAATCTTTCTATAATAGCCCTTGTACTTTCTGTAATAATCCTATCCTCTCTATAAGAGAGGTGTCATGCTGTCTTGAGATCATCTGAGGTACTTATAAGACCAAAACAGCAATTGTTGGCAGCCAAAAATGGTCTCTATCACACCAGACAGCCCCTGCAAGCTCGAAATAGGGTAGAACAAAAAACAAATTAACCTATCAATTAAATTATTTATAGTGAGCACTTTATTTTTTTTTTCCACCGCTATCGAATATATATATATATATATATATATATATATATATATATATATATATATATTTGATATTTTATTCATTCATTTAATTTACAATATATTTGCTTCTGTATTACAATGCCTCAAGAAATCGTATGTTTTTTTTTCCTTTTGCCTATATTATTCTTGATAGTTATTTATATTGTGAGCAGGAGATCTCTGAGCCTCTCCCTTTTTAACCTTCATTCAGACTGACCGGATAACAGAGCCTTTTTTTATCAAATTATTAATATTCGGCTGAAACTTCGTACTTCGTACTTTATCTCATTGTAACCCATAAATATTTTATTTAAGAAAATTCCCATAATTAGGCCGTTTTCTAACTGCAGATTGGCAAACTTTTTGTACTAAATTAGGTACTAAAAACTCGTCAATACCCATTTGCTTTACACCTGAGTCGTAAGATAACTTGAGCATAAAGTCGTGAAAAAAGGTGGCCTTCAAAAATATTGAGTTGTTTGGCATGACCTACACCATCTTCAACTCTTCAAAATATAGAGGTTATATAGGCCAAACGGCCGAATATTTTTGTAGGTCACCTTTTTATCGAGTTTGTGTTTAAGTTATCTTACGATTCAAGTGGAAAGTAAATCCATATTTCCGAGTTCTTAGTACCTAATAAAATAGACAAAGCTTGCCGATCTCCATATTTAAAACGCCCCAAATCCTATAATTTGTAGGTTACAATGAGATGAAGCTATTTGTGAAGTTTCAGTCGGGTGTTAATAATTTGAAAAAAAGGGGTCTGTACCAGGGACTAGAGAAAGATAAATTTAATTTTAATGACTAAAAGTTGTGTCACAAATAAAATCATCCATAACGACCTTAATGTTCCTTATGTTTCTGACCTGGCCCAATCCAGATACCTATCCTTCCATAACAAACTTCAGAACCATCCAAATCCTCTCGTTTCTAACCTAGCTTCCTCTTCGATCCCTGACAACCCTCCGAGACGTCTGAAAAGAAGATGGCTTCGAGATCTCCTTTCGTAAATACATTTTTAGAGTGCTACCAGTGGGTAGTTTCTCAACAAGTGATGTCATGTTATTATATTCTTTTTTTCACATTTACTGAATGTATTTTTTTATTTTTAATACAGTTGTAAATATCCTAAAAAAAAAAACAAAAAAAAAAAAAAGATTTAAGAGTAAAATCAACTCCGAAACATCGACTGCTACCTACCTATGCTGATGATACAAATTTTTTAACAAAACACAATGAACCCAGGCTAGACTCACTCAATTTACAAAATCACTTACTATATTTATGAAATTGGTATTCACTTTGGAAAATTAGATTAAATCATGACAAATCACGGCCTGTTTTGTGTACGACCTAAGTTCTGTTCAATTTGTCCAAATAGGCTTTAGTACAGTTTTGTAGATTATTCGGTTGTTTTGTAATTTGATCTCCATATGTAATCCAAGAGATATGACAGTTAATATGTTCCATGTATGTTTCCTGTCCAACTACAGTCCGAGATATTTTTTTTTTTTTTTTTTTTGCACTTACATTTATTTATCCGCACCTGTCTATTATTATTGACAATCAGCAGATGTGCTGGCTTAGTAATGGGAAAAATAAAAAAAAAATAAAAAAATAAAAAATGCTTGATAGGCATGAGGAATAGCAATACCCAGCGGTATCCCTTCCATGGCTTTTATTTATTTAAACATTATTTCAGCAGATCCCTCATCCAGACCCTTTTTATTCGTCTTCTGGAGTTCTTGGGCATACTAGTTGTGAACATTTCTTTTACCAGCTGGTTGGAGTGCCCGTTTAACATGTTATGAAATCGTTTGTAGTACGTTCGTATGTGTTCATTGACTGTCGGAACATGTAGGTCGGTGTGTAAAGTGTGATTGTTTACGTACCATGGTGCTTGAGTGATTAGTCGTAGTATCTTATACTGAAAAGTTTGAAGTCTATTTATGTGAGTTGGTTTTGCAATTCCGTATATTTGTAGTCCGTAAGTCCAAAGAGGTTTTAAAAGATACGTGTAAATACTTAGTTTCTGTCTTGCTTTTTATTTGGAAGGTCGTCTTAACAGTGTATGTAACAATTTTAGTCTTAGATTTAATGTGATTCGTTTTTTCTTCACATGTGGACTCCATGTCATTCTCCTATCGAACGTAAGGCCTAGGTATTGTACTCTGTCTGTTTGTGGAATCGGTATGTTGGCTAAGTATACAGGAGGGCATGTTTCTGGTCTTAGAGTAAATGTGATGTGCTGTGACTTTTGATAATTTATTTGAGTTTTCCAAAGTTTACACCAATCGAGTATAATTTGTAAGTGATGTTGTCAGTACATATGTTTTAAGGAACTGCTTTTTTTCCTATTGTTACAGCAGGACATGACGCTTTCCGCAGATAAGAACTAACTTTTTTGAACTTAAATAAAAAAAAATAATTTGAATAATTGGTGAATGATTGTTGAATAATTAATTAAATCGATTAGGTTCGTTTATATTGTAGAGTGATGGTAACTCACTTGAAGCACATCTTGTGAGGCTGCGGGGCGGTCTCCCTCTTCACCACCTGGGACTCGACACAGAGCGAGGACAGCCAGAGGATCGCGGCGAGGTGGAGGTACTGCAGCGAGAACGATATCGACAGGCACAACTCCTTATCCTGAAATAGTGAAAACATGTTTAGAATCACACAGATTGCTCTTATTAACTAACAGATAGTATATTTAACAGAATATTATAATAATAAAAATATATAGCCATTTGATGCCAAGGATTTAAAGCTATGCACAGTAGTATACAATTAAATATACCCCTTTTTATCGAATTATTAACATCCGCCTGAAACTTCTTGGAATTGGTGCGTTTTCAATCTGGAGGGGAGCAAGTTTTGTTTATTTAATTAGGTACTAAAAACTCGTAAATACACATTTGATTTCTACTTGGATCGATAAAAATCGATAAAATCGATAAAAAAGGTGGCCTACAAAAATAGTGGACCGTTAGTCCTATATAACCTCGTTATTTTGAAATTTTGAGGGTGAAGGACACGCCAAAGGGCTCAATATTTTTGAAGGCCATTTTTTTTTTCGATTTGGTGATTATCTTATGATTCAAGTAAAAAGCAAATGTATATTTACGAGTTTTTAGTACGCAATTTAATAAACAAAGTTTGCCCTCTTCCAAATTGAAAACGCCCCAATCCCAAGAGTTTTCGTAAATAAAATAGTTGTAGGATACGATGAGATGAAACTATTTACGAAGTTTCAGGCGGATGATAATAATTCGATAAAAAGGAATCTGCACCAAGGATTATAAAGTTAATGAAAAAATATTTCATTAATGAATACTTATAGTTATTTCGAATTTACTCGAAAATTTAACTCTCATTCGGGTCAAGTCGGCTTGAATAGACTAATTGAAGTGTTTTCCATTTTGATCGAAATATCTCAGAAACTAATAATCGCACCTGATTACTATAAGCGAGGGTAATTTTTAGGATTTCATCGTCTTTATATGTCTGTAATGAGAGCTCTTTGTAATGAACTAATTTGTAATCGAAATTGGATCTTAATGCCGATTTAGAGAGGCAAAAAGGGAAAATATAGTCCAAGAAACAAAATAATAAGGAATATTTTATAATTTGGACTAATTAATGTCAACATTTAAATACCATAAAGAATTCAGAAACCAATTTTCGGAAGTTAATATAGATTTATTTTTTTTATTAGTCATAAAAATAAGAAATTATGTTTTTCTATTCGATTTTATTTTGCACTCAGTAGTTTCGACAATTTCCTGATACCCCTAACATAAATAATATTGAAAAAAGAATTACGGAGATTTTGTTAGATATTTAGCAAATATATTTCAATCAAAAATATTCATCACATATTTCAGTTATCATAAACATTTTCTATGGATGTACTGCATATTTAAAATGTGAAGATTTAAAGGTGAAAACTTTTAGCAATTTGATTTGTAGTAATATATGTTTTTTGGCTATAACGATTTGGTGCAGAGAGAATAGGAGCTGAAAATTTACAAAAAAAAAATAATTTTAAATTTTGAATTTAAATTTGGTATTTGTGCTCCTTCGTCTTAGTTATCTCAATTTTTTTCATAAGTATTATTTCTTGGATTTCTATCATCATTATTAAAAAAATATATTTAAAAAACAATGTAGCATTGATATAAAAAGTGATTCATAAAATTATTAAAAAAAATTTTTTTCAACATATAAATTATATAGAAATCATTATTTTTTATATTTTAATATTTACGATGTTAATAATTTACATTGATTATTTAATGTGGAAAATATATTGAAAATACTAATCATATTAACTATTATAATTATGGAGCACTTAAAGTTTTTCTTTACTACCATATTTCTTAGTTCTTTTTTCCTTTCTAACTCCCTTTAGGAGGAAAGCCTTCACAAGTTTTATGTCAAACAAACTTTATTGAAAAGCGAAAAGTTTTATTATTACGAGTTTTTAAAGATATTAGTTAAAAATACTTTTTTTAAAAAAGTCCCTCTCTTAAAATAAAAAAAACGATCCTACTTAAAGTGAAGGATAAAACTTCAGTAATCAAGACAATTCTCTTATTTGGTTCGATCAGAGTTGGAGTTGGAAGAAAACAATCCGAGACAGAAACGAATCAGTGAAGATGTAATGGGACCATTATTCTTTAAGTGGGTATTAAACTTTTTAGAAAGGGACTCCAACGGAGCTGGATTTTCTGATATTTACTTTTGTAACTCTCCAGAAGAAGATATAAAGATAAGAAAAATAAGTCAAATATAGCTCCCTTATCATATCTATTGAATAAACTAGGGGAATCGAATGTATTTCGACATGTTTCAGAAAATATATTCGCCTCTTTTACATCTTTAGCGTCATTGCTGCTTAACATAAACAATCTAAAGTAAATTTTTACTCCTTATTTGTCCACACGAAATGGAAAACTAAAAAAAATAAGGATGCATATATGTGAAACGTATATGAGGGACAAACATATTAGCTTCACTAAGATTATAGTTTTATCTGCAAAATGGAATAGATAAAGTCAATTGAAACACATTAATTTAAAAAAAAACTGAGGTGTATAGTTTGAACCGCACAATAGAAGTGAAAACATCAACCAGACGAGATTAATAATATGAAATATAAATTATAAATAATACCTCATTATGAAAAGGATGAAACACAGAAAATTTGTCTCGCTTACAGTATGCACGTTCTATTTTTAGTATCTCTGATATTTTAATACATATCTTCAATAAAACGTGGTATAATTTGGTTTTCGAAACTATTTTTCTCTTTTCACCTCTCTAAAACGATGTTGCGTTAAGATAAAATTTCGAATAATAGCTCATTACAAAGAGGGTGAAATGATGAACAATTCCCTCACTAACAATAAGGAGGTCCGATTTTTAGTTTAGATATATTTTAATCAATATGCAAAAGTACTTCAATTAGTCGATTCCAGCCGACTTTACCCGAGCGTTACACATCGGTAATCTGACGGCTGAAAAAGATGTCCCAAAAAGACAAAAAAATGCAAAACGAGCCTAAAGACGTTTTCTCTTCAAAAACCTTATTTATCCTCCCACTCCATATGTTCACTGCCTTGCACCAAGCGAAAAGTGGTTTACTTCCTCCAGACCTGCTGACTTGTCAATTGCTTCCAACAAATCTTTTTGCTGATAGTAAACCTGCATCGTCCCCTTAATATCATCCAACTTGCTACAGCATTTGAACCCCTTTTAGCAGCATCTTGAAATATTCTGTTCATCTGTCAACTACATATTCATTTAGGCACATAATGGATACTGATTCTTGTTTTCTTTTCCGAGATTTTGACACTTCCTTTCTCGTTCGCTTAATGTATTTTTCCACTTTTAGGGTTCAATTTCGTGTTTTTACTCATTTTGAGACCAATTATTAACAATCAGTTCCTGTTACCAAGAAGAACTTATAGCTTCGCTCTTTCCATCTTTCTATGGTCCAACTTCCGAACAAATTATAGGAAAAAGAAAAATTAATTTTGTTATAAGTGATATATGAGTTTTACTAAACAATCCATCAACTATTCATTATATATAGTTCAGATTAGGTATATTTTATTTTAGTTTATAAAACAGGTAAGACTCGTTTACGGAGGAAGTATATACAATTTAAATTACCTCTATGAATCAGTAAATATACAAAACAAAGGGTTAAATTGCAAACGTTAAATAAAAAATTCAAGATATTCAGCAAAGTATTTTTGAATTAAGTCTTATTATTATGATTATATAATTATTACAGTAGAGGTCTTCTTAAACGACCTCCGTATAGAAGAAAGGAAGTAAAATTAAACAATAAAATAAAATAATAAATTAAAAAAAATTATAATTATTTTGGACAATTAAATTATTGCATTAATATTCGTTCGTTATTACAATCAATATAATGTACCAAAAAAGTTATTATAACACTATAACTAAGCCATTTATGAGTACTGAATGGTGTAGTAGAGACCTACGCCAATACCGCTTTTCTACCGCTGAAGTGTATTTTCTACGTATAAATTTTAAAAAGTAATCAGTGTTTTAGAAAGATAATTATATTTTCCAGATATTTTGTTTCAGCACGTTTTACGTTATTTTTGGCTATTTAATTATAAACGCCTGATTTTCAACTTTAATTTTTTTTTTTGTTAAAAAGATTGAATTTACTGGTGTTTTTTATTGCCTAAGCCAATTATTTTTTAATATTTTTTCATGTTTTGTTATTTTCTGACTACTTAGCTTTGATAGAAGACCAGCTATGATGAAAGTAAGACAAATGCTAATTCTCAGTCAGTTCTGCGCATGCGTTAACCCTACACATACACTCTTTATTTCGTCTCTTATAAAGTGACTTTATTATCAGTGAAATAATTCATGTTATTTGTGAAAAAGTAGTGTGAACTGTTTAGTTAACAATTAAGTTGAAACTGGACATAAATAAGGTGAGTAATCACTTATTTATAACGGCATTGTGAACAATGTAAATAGACCTGAGGATAGTGATAGATAACAAGCCGGCCATATACATTCGCTAATCCGACCAGTGGGCTGCTGCCCTTCGGCGGAAGCACATCTACGTTTCTCAGAATTCCACAAATTTGCGTAATATATACGTAATTGATAAAAGACTTTTTTTTACAAACTATTACATTTACCTCTAATTAATTAACATGAGATGCGATATTTTCACATGGTAATGTCGAGCAAAGGTAGCAATCGAACTTTAAGATCTAGGAGTCTAGATACCACAAAGAGTTCACCAATCAAGAAAAGGGCTAGACGCTCTAAAAAAAATACCCCACCAGCTACACCAGAGAGCTCAGTTGACGAAGTCGAAAATCAACCTGGCACATCATCACAAAATATGTCAACACAAGCTATATCAATACAAGGTACGTTAGAAGAATCGCCCTTTTTTACAGCTAATCCATTCCAAGTGTTGTCAAACACACAGAATGAACAAATGGAAGCAGTACCCATCCCTAGTGAACCTAAACCCCCACCAATATTCGTTAGAAACATTAAAAATTTTCAATTAATGTGTCTACAATTAAATAATATAGTGGGCTCAGGTAAATACTTATGCCAAAGCCGCATTAATGACACGAAATTAATGCCTG